TTCTTACTCTGCCTCCCACACTTTCTACTCCATACTCATGGGCTGTTCTATATCGGTGTGATCTTGCGCCAAAGCAGCTGCTTTTGCGCAAAAACATGCTGCCTGTCTACACTGGTGGGGAGTTCTTGTGCAAGAATGCTGATGTTCTAATGTGTGAAATCAATGCTTCTTGTGCAAGAACTATGATGCTCCTGCTCAGGAATAAGCCCTCTTGCACAACTGTTCTTGCACAAGAGACCAGTGTAGACAGTCAACATGAATTTCTTGAGTAAGAAAGCCAGATGGCTAAAATGGCCATTGGAGCTTTCTTGCGCAAGAGTGTCTACATTGGCACAGATGCTCTTGTGCAAAAGCACCTCTTGCGCAAAGGCACGTGCCAGTGTAGACGCTCTCTTACACAAATACTTTAACGCACAAACTCTTGTGTTAAAAAGTATTTGCGCAAGATCATGCCAATGTAGACATAGCCATGGTATGAGCCTTTCCCCATGGCTAAAGAGCAACTTCCACAATGGCTTTCTATTTCAGCCTGTTTCTCCCCCAGCTGAGGTTTATCATCTATTGTCAGTGCAGCCAGATTCTCCAGCACGTGCAGCTTATAAGAGTAATGGGCCCTATCTGCACCTTAACTACTCCAGGACTGGGCTGACAGGAGCACCCCATCACAAGGGATATTGTGATAGTTTCAGAGGGCTACATCTTAAGTCTAGTTCTACTGATTTATGTCAGCTGGGGATTTGCTGACATAATGTACACTTGTAGCTAAACAGGGGGAAAATTGCAACATAGAAAAGGGTCTGTTCAAGGCTCATTTACCACCCCAAATAATCGTGCTTCTATTAATGGGTTTGGGGCGGAGGTGTATCAGCACAGATTTGGCCTGGTATTTGTGTGCAGCCATTTAAATATGAAATCGGTTAAAGCTTCACAAATGTACAGTAAATCCTTTGTAAGTAAAAATAAATGTTATCTGCATTTGGAAAAAAAGTTGTTTCCTACATCCTCCAATCTCTAAGGTAAAGGTCACTGCTAAGGGGTTGCACTGTCTTTTATCGTTCATTGCACACAGCTGCCCATAATAGCATTCTTTTATGAACTGTAGCCATGACTTAAGAAGGATTAAACTTCTGACATGGAAAGCATTCAGTGAGATCAGAGCTTTCTAAAGAGAGAAATACCTGAGGGACAGGAATGGAAAGTCTCAGACTCCAGATTCAAATGGGTACATACCCAATTTAGACATGTAAATCCTCCAGAGAATACCAGAAATTTGGAGCAGAGAACTAGAAAAAGCTCTCTCATGAGATAACATGTCCCTATGCACCCAAGAACGTTAGCAATTTGCTAGGAAACAGTTTTAAAAAATCTCTCTTCATTATTAAAAAAGGATATCCTCAACATTCAAATGAACCCATTTGTTTAAATAAATCTCAACAAATTCTTAGTACCAATAGATAAGTAGACAGCTGAACATTCCAAATCCAATACACGATATGTGTATTATATATGGTAGTATATAATATACGACACATACACAAACAAAACTTATATATCATTCCACTTGATAATGTCTTTAACATCTTACATAATCAAAATCTAAGATTTTCAAAAGGTCTAAATGATGTTTAGGCATCCAACTCCTACTGAAAGTTAACAGGAGTGAGAATCTCAGAACTTAACTAGATGGGAAGCCATGAAATAGAATGGTAGATCTACTACAACAGCAATCTCACCTCTAGCAAAATTGCCAATCCTCATACAATTCCTATTCAATATAATTTTTTAAAAATATCTGCCTTCTGGATGGAAGTACAGTAAATTTCATACGTTTCACAACTACTCCAGCCTTCTGTTATACTACTAGTGACTAACTACCTGTCATTGTAAGACAAGGCAGAATATATGACAATCAGGCTGCATAGATTAGCAGCTCCACCACAAAATCTCTAATGCAGTCTTCTGCAGCCTCAGAGGACTGGGAAAATGAGCAGAATCATTAATGGCCTTTACTGCTGCTGAGCCCCCAAAAGCTCATGAAAGCTTCAGTGGCCTAGCAGCTGTGGAGGATATTTATCTTACTGAAATTAGGGCCATGCAAGCATGTTAAAGTCCCTAAAGTTAACACCATTAGAAGACACATTTCCTTGATGATTAAACATTAAATGCATAAGTATTTCAAAGCTTTTGAAATAATTCAGAACTAATGAAAAATTAATTGATTCTTTACATTTCTTCAAATAATGATGTATAAAAATAGTGTGTCAACTCAGTCTTGTATCAACTATTGCAATAATTAATTACACATTTCCCAATAGCTATCCATAGTTGGGTTTAAAACATATGAAAATATCATAATTAATTTGCAGTTTCAAATAAATAGACAACTGAAGCCAAGAAATATGAAAACTTATAATTGTTTTCATTAAAGTCTGCACAATAATCAGTGTCACTGGAAATTATTTCCTGGACTCTTTGAGTAATAGTTATACTTTCGGGACTTGATTCATCATTACAATGCTCCAGTTTTAGACTGATGTAACCCCACTGATTTCAAATGCGTGTTTGTTATTTTTTAAATCCCATGTGCAGCATTTATCACACAATATATCTTGTCATTGTAGTGCTAAATATTGTTATATGATTATTGAGGGTTCTGAACCTTAAGTTGCTAAGCTTCCTTCACTCACATTGGTTCCGTAGGAATTAAGGATGGTTGGTATTACACAAAAAGTTTACAACCCTTTCTCTTGCAGGGAAAGTGGTGCATTCCCAGACAGGGGAAAGATGAATTCCCAAGAAGACCGGGGGTTGGTTGGGTTGGGACGGGACAGGACATGGTAGGTGTGGTGGACATGAAGGTGATAGGTAATAATAATATAAATCTTGTAGGTGACTTTGTCATGTGAGGATGTGCACCATCAGTAGAAACACATGCTGTTGGCTATGGGCATTGTGGGTGCTCTGTTAATCCGCTGGGTGGCATGGGAGTCTATCGTGGGTGGCTACCCATGCACTCAGCTTAGGGAACACTGACTGGTGACTCATGGTTATTCAGAGAGGGAAAATTCCCTCTTGACTTGAAGTTCGGTGTCCTATCTATTCTTTTCAGTTTACAGTTGTCTCAGTGTCTTTCCACTAAGTTTAGTGGGTCACCATTGTCCTTTCCTAGACTGGACAATGGATAGTGACTTGTAGCTAGCTTCCTGTAAACTGGTTTGGGAGGTGCCCTTCCCTGCTTGACTACTTACTGAGCTGCTGTGAAGTGTGTAGGGATAAAATAGCAAATAGCCTATTGATATGTAGGTAAGATCCTGAACCATGGTCTCTGGTTAAGCTTTTCCATGTAGACCCATGCTGACTAGCCTGGGCAGAAGCATGAGGCCTAGCCAACAGACAACGGGCCCTAGGAATAACACAGAAAAACAGCCCCGCCTGTGAATCACAAATGGAAGGCGCCAAAGTAGCATAAAACTAGGTGTGAAGCCATAATTGAACACCCTTATTATGAGTTTCACACACACAAACAAGGCCAAGACCCTCATAGTCTGCCATTATGGGAAAGAAACAACAGCAGCCTTCTCAAGGCCAACCACAGATTCAGGGAAAGGCCTAACATGTCAATATGAGATGACACCCTGCCTCCCTAACAATTCAAGTCCGCAGATACACCAGAATGATGTTATAAACAATTGCTTTGCTGTTTACCTGATATTACTTGGTCTTACCAGGTCTTTTTGCTTTATACCCCTAGACTTATGAACTGCACCCTGCGCCTGTCGGGAAAGCACCATCATCACTCCTATGGATCCCAATTAGAATGTAGTTTATGTATTGCAAGGCAATTCTCGTAGGGGGAGGGGAGGCAATACTTGTATTTTAACAAATGTGTTGACCTGAGCTATGGGTGGAGCTACTATGTAATCTCTTAGACTATTGGCTTATTGTGTTCATTATGTTCTGCTGCCAGAATCTATCCTGGGGCTCAGGAACTTCCACTCTGTCACTTGTCTCCACCCATTGGCTCCCTATATAATCTATTGTGATCAATTTCTTAGCAGTGCTCACTAAGCCTAAGTGGCAAGGTAACACTCCACCAGCGCTGTGCATAATAAACCCTCCTGCTTGAATCTACACGGTATCTACATTTTGGTTTCCAACAAAGTGGACATGTGTTAATTAATTGAAATTAAACAGCACAATTTTCCATTTACACAAATATATAAATAGCTTTGGATCAGGTTCAGAACAATACAAACTTTTATAGAAGACCTTGCTCATTATATTTGTATAGCACAATGGCTTTGTATCTAATTTGTTGGTTTAACTGGTTGTTTATGGGGGAGTTAAAACTTCTGTTCTCTCCTTGCGTGACTGGACCCCGATTGTCACAGTCTGACTTTGTTTTGTGGCAGCTAACAGCCAGTAAAGGGACCCCTCTTAGTCTGTTTTAACTAGAGTAATAATGGAGCACTCCTTTAGCAGATCACTTTAGGAGAAAGTTCAATCCCTGTATGTTCCTAGAATTAAAGCCACTTTTCCATCCTGCAACTTAGGTCCTACACCACACACAATACAGCCAGACCCTGCAATCTGTCTCACAAACTGCATACGCAATTGTTTCATAACTCATTCTAATGTCTAGAAAGGACTCAAAATTGCAAAGGCAATTATTCATTTATATATGTATATGTGTTTCTTTCCTGTTGTTGCTCTTGTTACAATATTCTGATTAAAATAAAAATCAAAAATAAAATCACCGAAAGAAGAGATGTGTACCTTAAAAAACAGCCCTGAAACAATTTTAATTTTACAAAAATATGCTAATTTGAGGCACATGCGAACTTTCTTCTAAGTCCCTGAAAATTAAGGCCTAGAATTTAAGACTTGATATACTATATGCAGACCTATTATTAGTACCTAATGTTTCAAATGAAACATTGTATTTGAGTAATAATTAAAGCCTTCTGATGCTTTTGTTTACCCGCGTAAGCTCTGAAAATATTAATGATGGCGAATGGAGACAAACTCCCCTTCCGGGGCTTTTAAAAAATTCTGCTCAAAGTTCTTGAGAATTCACCCTTTTCAAATGCAATTTAATTCCACTGAAAGAACTTGAACTATGATGGACACAAACAGGAATACTAAATGAAATAAATATTGTGGAGCTGTCAAAAGGAATTTGTATGGACAGAATCCGTATTCTCCCTCTGTCTCTCTCTCTCTTTCTTTCTCTTGCTTTCTCTGTGTTCTCCTTTTCACATCTGATGTTGAATAATGGTTCTTCTGGGTAGGACTCATTCCTGAAGACCAGTCCCATTCAATTCCACTATGGATTGAATGCTTGTCTTCCAGAATATGCCTTTGCCTTCTCTAGAAGAGGAGGTTACTTAGCAATGCAGGAACTGATGTTCTTCAAGATGAGTGTCCCCACTCAGGGTATTGATACGCCCCTACACCTTTGCACAGAGATTTCTACAGCAGCGTACACATAGGCTGTGCACGTTAAGTGCCTATCTCACACACCAATGGTGTGCCAATAGCATGCATGCACAGCCCATCTCCTCAGTTCTTTCTCTACAATGGAGACTGCTCCAAACTCTGAAGTATAGGGATGGAAGGTGGGTAGTGGAGCAGTAACATCAGTTACTGCACAGATGAGTAACCTCCTTCTCTTCTTCTTTGGGAGATGTCTCTGCAGGAGCTCCCATCCAGATAGCTGCAAAACAATATCTCTTAATTAGGCAGGGACTTTGGATGTGGTAGTGAAGCTGTAGACAGTGCCAATCTGCCCATTCTAGTATCAGTCAAAGGCTCTTGAGTGAGAGCATAATGCTTCACAAAGATATGTTCTGAAGCACAGGTGGTAGCTTTCCAAATACCTGCAAGTGGAATGTTGAGTAAGAATGACACAGACATTGCTACAGATCTGAAGGCATGTGCCCTAATTGAAGTGGGAGGGGAGGGATTAATGTTCTTTATTTGCTAGCATAGTCAGATGCAGTCTGCTATCCAATGTGATAATCTTTGAGAACAGATAGATTTGCCTCTAGATCATTCTGCAGTGGAGATGAAAAGTTTAAGGGAAGCACAAAACAGGATAGTGCCCTGCGTACATCAAGCATATGCATCGTTGATTCAAAATTATTGGCATGTTTTTTCAGGAAGAAGAAAGGTAAGTGCATGGGTGGCAGGAAAAGGCCCAGCTGAGGAAGGCAAGTCCCAGCCCCGCCTCTTCCACCCAAAGCTCCACCTTCTTCCCTTCTTGCCCCCCGTGGAGTCAATCCCGGCCCAATCAAAGCCCAGGCCTTCCTGGACACCTGGAGGTTTGGGACTACCATGCCAAGGCCCCAGCCTTCCTGAGCAGCCAGGGAGTCAGGACTTCCCCAGTGGCCATGGAGCACAGGCATTTTTGGGAAGGCAATACCTTCCCTTGCCTATATTACCTACCACCGATGGGCAAGTGTATAGGTTAACTAGTGAGGAAAGGCTAGTGGACTTTGGGGAGAAATGTGGGATGAATTTGAAAGGTGACTTTGTCCTTAAAAATATAGCATATGGTGGGTCATTCATGAGCGCCCCATCCCAAGACTGAATAGGCATCTAATTTCTGAGAATCTTTTTGTAATGGGATGCACAAAAAGAGAAGTGTCACCAGCTCCAGTGATTGCTGACAGATGGACTTCATGGAACAGCATTGTTTAAGGTGTAGGAGATAGTCAAGCATTAGCAGAAGCAGGGGGAAGCAGGATTAGTTTGTCTAACAGAACACAAGTCAGAGACCCTGGTCCATTTATGAAGTAAGTGGTATATGTTGACTACATTCTGCATAGTACTTGTTCAGAGCAATCTACCATCAGTAAGTTGGGGTTATGAGTTTGAGCTTTGGGTTGTGATAACAGGTTTGGAGTGGGTAGGAGTGCAATTGGGAGGCAGACGGACATTCTGGTGACAAATAGGTACCATGGTTGTCTGGGTCATATAGGGTCTATCAGTATGATCATTCAAACTTTTTGTACTACTCTGTGAAGCAGGGGTATAAAAGGGCATCAATAGGCTGTCACTTCATCTGATCAGGAATGCATCTTCCAGAGAGTACTTTCCTAGATATGCCATGGAACAAAACTTTAGGAATTTCTTGTTGGTTGTGGTTTGCAGATTGATTTATTTGCAGGTATCTCCATACATTGAACACATTGTCTAAGATCATATCATTTATTTCCCATTCATGCTCAAACATAACAAATCTGCTGACTTAGTGGTGTTTAGTGCTCTGGATACACAGGATGCTAAAATCTTGTGTCGAATGCATTAATTTCAGTTTCATGATCTCTGGTGACTGGGATCACGCTCCCTGCTATCAGTTTATATGAAACATACATGTGATGTTTTCGGTGAGGATCTTGATGCTTTGGTCCCTGGTGTGAGAAAGAAATTGGAGGCAGGTATATCAGATCACTCAAAACTCCAAGAGGTTTATGTGTAGTGAAGCTTCTGGGGGGGCATAAGCCCTATGTGGCATGGTGTATCATGTGTGCCCATGCTGGTGAGGGATGGGTCCTCACCATCCCTCCAGTGCCCATGCTGGTGAGGGAAGGACCCATGGTAATTATCACATGGGGGGACTGAACTCTAAAACATAGCTTGTGTGGGAGAATCCACTAAGTGAAAAAATCTTTGACTTGATGGATATAGTTAAGAGTCTATGCTAACTAAGCTAACAACTAAAATAACTATTTGAGAGCGAAAAACTTAGAATTCAGCAGAGTCACTCAGTCTCAGGATGGGGATGACAGAGAAGGACAGGAGGAGACGGGCTGCACACATGCTCTATTGGGGTACAGGCAGTCCCCGACTTACGTGGATCCGACTTACGTCGGATCCCTAGATACGAACGGGGTAGGCAACTCCCGCACATGCGCAGCAGCATTCCCGGGGCTCGCTCACCTGGGTCCTAGGATCCTCCTCCTCCTCGGGCCGGCTCCGACTGGGGTCCCGCAGAGCTGCCGGGCAGAGGAAAAGTGCCTCCCCACGCCCTTTAGTACAGCCGGTCCTTGAATTGCAAACGGTCGACTTACGACTGTTCACAGTTCTGACCAAAGCTGTCGTAAACGGCGGACCCCGAGTTACAAACGCGATTCATGCTTACGAACAGCACGGTCGCGTGTAACTCTATGGGGTCCGACTTAAGAACGAACGGAGTTATGACCAATTGCTTGGTCCGTAACTGGTTCGTAAGTCGGGAAGAGGCTGTAGTTAAATTCGTGGACTGTCATTGCTCATTAAAAGTGCTGTCATATGGCTGTAAATGGGGTAAATATTGTATTTTATTAATCTCAGCAGAACTAACTTAAATGGGGCCTGTGTGTTGTGTAGTCTTGCCTTAATATTTGTATTCATGCCTGTCAGCGTGAAAGAAGCAATACAGGCAGTTCCCGGGTTACATGGATCCGACTTACATCGGATCCCTACTTACAACCGGGGTGAGGCACCCCCGCACTAGCTACTTCCCCCCAGCAGACTAGGGAGATGCGAAGCTAGCGCGTCCCCCTCCCCCCGCCCAGCAGACCAGGGAGAGGTGGAGCGGCTTTTCTCAGCAGACACCTCAGTTTGAGATTAAAGGACTGAGGGAAGTGAGGTGTGGGAGAATAAAACTGAGCTCTGGAGAAATGTTTGGCTAGAGTTTCCCCTACAATATGTACCAGTTCCGACTTACATACAAATTCAACTTAAGAACAAACCTACAGTCCCTATCTTGTACGTAACCCGGGCACTGCCTGTACTGTCAGTGTGCGAGCCAAGCACTGCACATGTGCAGCCTGTGCAGAATTTCCAATCAAAGGTGCAGCCTTACACCAACATCTGGAGCCAAGCACCCACAAGAACATCTCTAGAAGAAGAAACAGAGCTTCTCTTGATAGGATGTTACAATTAATTTCTATGGATTTGCCAGCAGAAGCCACTCATATGGGAAACACTCTATATTCCACCCTTCACTACTCCAATCATTAGTGCTTCTTATTAATAACAAAGAAATATATTATTACAAGTAGTTATTCAACACTCACTTGTCCAGTCCACAACTGTTACTTTTTGGATGGGCTAAAGATGCATTAGAAATGGAACATGAAGTTCAGACTCCAAGGACAAAGGTAGATGAGCTGAAAAGTCAAGCACCAGCAAATCCTTGCATTCTTTAAATAAGCACTCACTGCTATTGTTATATAGTCATCCACTTTGCCCCCCAGAGTTATATTGTGATTTTTAATGTTAATGTAACAAGAAGTGCCCAAAAGGTGCAGAATAAAGCAGCCTCTATTAGTCTTTCATAAATAGAGACAACAGATTCTATTAGAGACATAAACTTCCCAGCATATGGTAGATTATAGCATATCGAAGCACTGGCAATTTCAATTATATGGCATTTGTCTTACTAAATCATAATCAATACCTGTCATTTCTAATGGGTAAATAATCATGCCATCCAACAAAAACAAATCCTGTCCAAAACTACAAATTAAAGAAGTAGAATACTTAAAATTAATTTTAACCAAATGTATTTTTTCCCCTGCAGCTGTTAATAAGTCCCAGGGCTGCAGCAAAATGAGAAAAAAATTCCACAGAATAATGATACTTCACTTTTGAGGGTGTAAATCAAGCATGACAAGGCTCATGCTCCAAATTATTGTAATACTTTTAACATTGCATTTACAGAAAACAGATGAAAAATTCTTAGCTATATTATCCAATCCTTCTGCAAAAATGAATACATTTCTATCAAAGAAATCATCATACAATGAAATCATGGGACTTCTGCCTTCCTTTTATTCTACATACAGAAGCACAGCTCATTATACTCTGCTAGCTACTCAAGCACTGTTTCAGCTAAGACCCTTAAGCATGTGACTAGCAAGAGGAGAATGAAGTGGGACAGCAAAAAGACCAATGTGAGAAATCTCTCTTCTTTCTGTAGGACTACTAGATTTCTTTCAAACATCTCTAGCATGTCTTGTCTTCATCTAGCTTACATCCCAATAGTTTTAATAGGCTTTCCGCAAGTTCAAATTCCATGCGGTTATATCAACATACATTTGCAGAGAAAATTGCTGCTACAGGTTTGGAACCATCAAATCTGGATTGAATGAATGAATATCAATCTATATGGTAGGTCTAAGGTAACGTGTGAGAATGATTTGTGTCATTTGAAAAAGCTTCCAAATCCATTAGACTGCATTTTACAGAGTTAGCCCCTTTAATTTGAACCTATCTTAGATTACCATCATTGTCTTGTCAGAAGGGAGAAAGAGACAGCTATCTAATATATATATATTTCAGAGAATTTGTCTTTTTGCGTTTGTCTGTGTGTCTGTTTTTCTATCCCTCAACCAGGGGACTTGTATCCCTCCCACCAGTTGTGCTCACTGCAGCTGCAGTGGCCATGGAGAGGCACTTCTCACCTGGCCCCAAGCTACTGTGGTGAGAGGGCTGGAGTTATCCTCTCTCCCCAGGGCAGCCTGCATACTGAATCCTTCATACCCAGTCCCACATCAGAATAATTATTTAAATGAAGTAAAACAAAATGTATTTGAGTTAAGGACCCGAGCTATGCCAAGTAAATCTTCTATAACATTTATATTTAGCAAATGTAACTATAGGGTGGATTGTTCCAATCCAGGGAGTTTGCCAGACCAGAGGAGGTCAATGCTCCCCTACTGGCTGCCCTACTCCCTGGTTCCTCTCCCCTGGGCACCCAAGGCTGAGGCTCCCATCTTGCAGTCCTACTTGCTGCTGCCAGTCTCACTCGGCTGCTGCCAGCCACGCTACCACTGCGGATTTCCCCTAGTCTCTCTGGCCCGTGCTCCTCCGCTGCTGCTCACCACCTGTCCCCTGATATATGACATGGGATTCCCCAGCCGGGGCACCTGGCCACCCCAACCCGCTGCTGCTGAGTATTTCCCAGGGTTCCATGGCCGGGGCCACCTGGCTGCCACCAGCCCCACTTCCTGGGCCCATCCTGCTCCTGCTGGGTTCCCAGGGCTCCGCAGCTGCTGCCTGGGCCAACTAACACCAAGGCTTCCCTGGCTGGGGTTGAGGGATTGGGGCTCCCCATTCTCTGCCTGGATCCACTGACTCCAGGGTTCTCCAGCCGGGACCAGGGTTCCCAAGCCACTACCTATCTCAGCCACTACTGACCCAGCCAGGGCTTTTCAGCTCTGTGTTCTCCCAGCTGGCTCCCACTCTTGGCCTCCAGCGTTCTTTGGTCCAGCAACATCCATGGGCCTGCCAGACCACAGAGAATCTCCTTTGTCCAAAATCTTAGTCCCAGCCCCACCTTCATACTTTTTAACATGGAAATTGTTAGTCTAATATTTCCTATTGAGCTTAAAATACTCTTCCTTTAGCCAATGAAGATTGAGAGCAAAAAAAGTCCCTTATATAAGGAAGTGTGTATCAGAGTGCTGGCCCCTTCAGGGGAATCAGGGACCAGCCTACCTGTCACAGGATCCTGTAAGAGACAATGAAGGATGATGCACACTGGGGATTTACCTCAGCATAGCTACATCTCTCAGCACTGAAAAACCTGCATGCCTGAGAGATGTAGCTATATGGAGAGTTACACTGAGCTCAAGGAGGTGGCATTAGCTACTGAGACAGGAGAACTCTTCTTATCATTGTTGTGAGTGTCCACACTGAAGTACTTTCATTTCAAGAGTATATGTACCCTGAGTCAAGTCAACCTACCTGGAAGTAATGAAATCTATTCATGGCTGATTAGTGGCTAATTAGCCAGTGTGCCTGAAAAAAAATCATTAGGACTCAGCAAAAGTGACTCCTGAGCAGAGAAACTGCTAGGACAGAGTATCAGAGCATCAGAACCAAGAGCCTTTAAAGTATGCTCCTAGAAAACAAAACTCCTCTACGGGCTTGTCTTCACTGCCTTAGATCGATGCTGTGATGGTCAGTCTTCCAGCGTTCAATTTATCAGGACTAGTAAAGACACACTAAATCAAATGCTAAGAGCACCCCCATTGACCATGACTCCTCGCAGTCATGAGGATTATGGAAAATCAATGAAAGTGTTTCTTCTGTCAATGTCCTGCTTTGGGGCTGCCCCAGACTATTGATGCAAGGTAGATCGACTACAACTACACAATTGTCATAGCTGGAATTTCGTATCTTGTATTGATTTTTCTCCACCAGTGAACTCCTGGCCTTAAAAAGAAAAACTCCCAGAGATGATAGAAACACTTCCTGAACCACTGCAGAATCCTGGGGAGGCACAGCTGGTTGCAGAAAGAGGCAGCAAGTGAATGCTGCAAGGAGTAAAGGCAAAGACCAAAATGATCCCAGCTTTGGGAAGGAAAACGGAGGAATCTAGAGCCAAGGAGAGTGAGGTACTCAAGCAACAGTGAAATGCTGGAGGACAGAGAAGAGAGAGACTTTATTTTTGAATATCTGAATTTACATAAAGTAGACTCAGCAGGGGACTTTTGTTTGCGATGTGGAGCTCTATAAGGAGAACTGAAGAGGCTGAGAAAAAGGGGAGAGCACCTACAGCATTAAACTTGGCCAGGAGGTACAATAGAAGAGATATCTCCTGTGACATGGTGCAATCTATTGAAATCATAGACGTTATACCAAGACAAAAGACCTATATTTGTTAGCCCCCTTGGACTATTAGCACTCAATATATTGCATTATTGAAGTAAATCAATGAAATCTAAATAAGTCAGATAAAACAAGAAGAATAGTAAGAGGTTGTATAGTGTCTTTAAATATCCTCTTATCTCTTCACCCCTTATGCAATACATTTTTACTGACAGTAAATTTTGTTATATTGGAAAAAAAAATCACTGAAACTTTATAAACATACAAAACTCAAGCTTGTTTCTGTTACACGTAAAAGCTATGGATTATTCATTTTGCCTGTCAAATATGATATACGCTTATTATTGGGGTATTGTAAATAAGTCACTAAGAAATAACC